ATTCTCTCTTTGACTTTTGATTAGTTTGGATAAAGGTTTGTCTACTTTGTTGAATTTCTCAAAGAACCAACTCTTTGTCTCATTGATTCTTTGCATTGTTTTCTTTGTTTCTATTTTATTGATTTCAGCCCTGAATTTGACTATTTCTTGCCATATATTCCTTCTGGATGAGTATGTTTTCTTGTTTTTGTTTTTGTTTTTTTTTTTTGTTTTGTTTTTTTTGTTTTTGTTTTTTTCGAGACAGGGTTTCTCTGTAGCTTTGGAGGCTGTCCTGGAACTAGCTCTTTTAGACCAGGCTGGCCTCGAACTCACAGAGATCCGCCTGCCTCTGTCTCCTGAGTACTTGAATTAAAGGCGCACACCACCAACGCCTGGCCTCATCTCTGCTTCTTGACTGTGGGTGCAGTGTGTCATCAAGCCCCGGTTGCATTGAATTCTCTGTCTCAATGAATGGTGGTCTCAAATTGTGAGCCAAAATAAACCCTTTCTCCCGTAAGTTGCCTTTGTATTGTATTTTATCACATTCACACAATTTATTCATTTGTTGATAATGTTTTATTTTTGTTTTTGCTTTTTGAGATAGGATCACCTTAAACTAATAGCAATCCTCCTGCCTCATTACTGGAATTAGAGGCCTGAGCCACCACATGGGCTCTATTAGTAGTTTAAGTGAATGTTTATTTTTGCTTCATCCTCATTTCCACCTTAATTTCAAAATATATCTAGAATCTAACCATTGTTCACCAACTCCATCATTTCTGCATTAATCCAAATAATTTCTAACCTGGATCTTTTTATTATTTGGGGTTAAAAAAGAGTTTACCACATTTATTTATGTGTATGCACACCTATATAGCTACATACCATAGCCTGCATATGGAGGTCAGAGGACAGCTTTCAAAAATCAGTTTTCTGGGGCTGGAGAGATGGCTCATTGGTTAAGAGCACTGCTGCTCTTCTAGGAGATCTGAGTTTAATTCCCAGCACCTACATGATAGATCATAATCATCTGTTACACTAGTTTTGGGGGATCTGATGGTTTCTTCTGGCATCCAAGGGCACCAGGCCCACAAAACACCCATACACAATAAAGCTGAGTGCTAGTTTCAAGATGCAACTTGTGGGTTCAAGATTTAGCTCAGAGGCAATACAATTGCCTAATATGGGCAAAGGTCCTGGGTCTAATCCCCAGCACTGAGAAAGGAAAAACCAACAACCTTGTGACTTTTCTCTTTAGTTAGAACCTTTAAATGACCTTCCCATCTCACTCAGACTTAGTCATATTTTAATGGATCCAAATCCCACAACTTTTCTGACACTAGCTCTTCCAAGACCTTCTTAAATTGTTTCCTAACTATGCTGGCCTCTTCCCTGTAATAAATAAACCAGGCCTGTTCTGCCTTTAGGAATTTCTTTTCTCAAATGTCTTCACAGCTAACTGCCTTACTTTGTTCAGATCAGTTTAAATTTCAAGTTATCACCTTTGTTTTTCTCTAGAAGGCACATTACCAATAAATACCTTGTGGGTTTACTTATTTTCTATCTGCCTTCCCCACTAGGATGTAATTTTTTTTTGTTTTTATGAGACAGGGTTCCTCTGTATTGTTTCGGAGGCTGTCAGTCCAGCCCAGCCTGGAACTCACAGAGATCCGCCTGCCTCTGCCTCACGAGTGCTGGGATTAAAGGCGTGTGCCACCACCGCCTGGCGAGGATGTAATTTTTGAAAAGAAGATGATTTTTATTTTATGGTGGTATGTCTAGCACTGCACAGTACCTGGCACACAGTAGGATATATATATATATGTATGTATATATATGTATATATGTATATATATGTATATATGTATATATATATATATATATCTGAATGATTACAGACATACCTTCTCTATTACTTTGTGTGTATATGTTTGTGTGCACACATGTGAGTGCACTCAGAGACTGGAGGTTAACTTTGGATGTCATTCTTCAGGAACAGCCCAGTTTATTAAAAAGATTTATTTATTTATTGTGTATAGTGTTTTGCAGGCATTTGTGCCGGAGCAGCCAGTGCTCTGTCTGAATTTATAACCCATCTCTCCAGCCCATGGAGCAGCCCACTTTTTGTTGTTTACTTGTTTTGAGACAGGCTCTCACTGCATAGCCTCAGCTGGCCTGGAATGCTCCATGAAGACCAGGCTTGTTTGTGTGTTTCCCCCTTGGGGTTCTTACTCCTTCTCACTACCTCCCCAACAAACACCTTGGTTTTTGAGACAGGATCTTTCACTAGCCTGAAGCTCACTGATTGTGCTAGACAGGCTGACTAACCATTCCCTGAGTCCTCAGCACCACCACAAGTGAGTACTGGGATCAAACTTGGATCTTCAGATTTTACTCTTTGCTATCATTTTCCCAACTCACGTGTTTAGATAGCTAAACTTACCAATCAATTTCTCTGCTTCCTATACCACTGCAATAACATAAAATATCTAAGGGTCAGCAAGATGGCTTGGTGGGTAAAGGGGCTTGCTGCACAAGCCTGGTGCCTTAAAGAAGAGAACTGACTCCACGAAGTTATTCTCTGACCTCCACATGTTTCCATGCCCATATACCACACAGAGAATAATGAATGAATCTAATTAAAATATTTCTGTCAAGTGTGATGGCATACACTTATGAGATTGAGGCAGGAGGCTGTGTGAGTTAGACGTCAACCTGAGACCCTGTCTTGAAAGGAAAAATGAAGGACAGGAAATAAATTGCAAAACTAGGCATGCTCTGGAGGTGCAGTCAGAGGAATCGGAAGCTCAAGGCCATCCTCGTCAGGGTTTGAAAAGTAGGGCTCCAGTACAATACACTATCTTGCTATCTGCCTTAATGAATAATCTTAGTTAAGCACTGCAAGGTGTTTATAGACTATGCAAAGATGCAAATCTCATATGTATTTCTGTGGGGACACCAGACCTTGAGCAGAGACCCACTTCCCATCAGCCTGGGAGTAGGCAGCTGTAAGACTAAAAACAATACAATGCCCAGGGCAATAAGTTCCTGAAAAGGGCTGGCCCATGGGAACTGCCTTGACCTCGACCTTGTCCAAAGACTAACCGCCTCTTCAGACCCACCCACCTCCACCTCTGGTGTCAGGGTATATAATAACGAGCCAGAGTAGGAATAAAGGAGAGCTGTCTTGAGGAGCCTTTGGTGTTGTCAATCCCCGACACCCTCGCCACATTCTCGGACTCAGGCTACGCAGTGGGCGTGGCATATTTCTTCAAAGAACCCAGCAAATCTTAACACAGTCTGACATCCTCATAACAAGAACCACTAACACCCGTCTTCTATATCCCTGAAAAATAGTTTAACTTTTCATCTTTTGAATATTAAAAGCTAAAGGGGTTGGGATTTAGTTCAATTTGTACAACTAAATACTGGTACACAGGAAGCCCTGGGTTCAATCTCCAACACGAAATAATCAAGCATGGTAGCACATGCCTGTAATTCCAGCACTCAGAAGGTGAAAGCAGAAGACTTAGGGTCATCCTTAGCAACATAGCAAGATTGAGACCAACCTGAACTACAAGATCCTGCCTTGCACGGGGAAATGAAGCTGGTACCAGTCTAAAAGCTTTATCTATACTGGCTAGCTTTCATAATATTGGAGGATGCTATGCATGGTACCTGGGGAATGGAGGAGAGAATAGTCAACAGTCTTACTCAGCTGTGAGCCCTGCAAAGTTTAACAATTGTCCTGGTAAGATATGCCACTGGTGCAATAGTGGCATGAATGTTATGGGAGCAACCAACCATTTTTTTTTAATTGGGTATAAGATCCGCTCCACAAAATGGAACTCATGCCTGATACCTTTAACTGAGCCAAAAGTTAGCGGCTGGCTAAATCATGTGCCCTAAGGAAGAACCTAACGCTATTATTCTGCTAAGTGGACATAGTAATAAACTGCTCACTAAGTTTTTATCTTTATGCCCATAGATGATAACATCTCTCAGTCTCTAACAGAGAAACTTCTTTTCCCAGTAAATGGCAACAAATACAAAGACTCACAATTGGCCGGGCGTTGGTGGCGCACGCCTTTAATCCCAGCACTTGGGAGGCAGAGGCAGGTGGATCTCTGTGAGTTCGAGGCCAGCCTGGTCTACACAGCGAGTTCTAGGACAGCCTCCAAAGCCACAGAGAAACCCTGTCTCGAAAAACCAAAAAAAAAAAAAAGACTCACAATTGGTGGACATGCAGAGAGTAAGAGAACATGAAGAGCTCAACCTTTTAACATCTCTACCCACCCCCACCAAGGCTCAAGGATCAGCACAGGAGAGAGAATGCCGAAAGATTGTAAGAACCAAAGGTTGTAGATAACTTCTATAAAACAGTATTTGCTGTATGATGAGGCCATTGAACACATGAACCCATAGCTAGCAGCTGGGAAGAGAGAGGAGATCAAGAAATCCCACGCCACCTGTAAGTATAGAATTGGCACCTGATGACTACTGGGGGAGGGAGTGTTGGTTTTCTTCAGAAGTGTAGTCTCTTAGAGGTTACCCATGCACATACAGACAGCACTGGAAGAACTTAGTGTATTTTTTAAAAGAGCATGAAGGGCTGAAGAGATGGCTCAGCGATTAAGATCACAAGTTATTCTTGCAGAGGAGCAGGTTTGGTTGCCAGCACATATATGGCAGCTCATGATCTTTTGTAACTCTTTTGTATTCTAGAGAACCAGAAATACTTTATAGGCCTTTATGGGCACAAGGCACATAAGTGGTACATACACTTACATGCAGGTAAAACACCCATATACATATAAAACAAATTCCTTCTTTAAAAAAGTACATGAAATTAGGAGGGAAAAGTGGTAGGGAGGATAAAGGAGAAATTGGAAGGGAAGAAATGGGAATGGATTTGATCAAAACATATAGACTTAGGAAACTCTCAAACAATTAAAAAAGAAGACTATTTTTAAAAAAAGAAAGCAATCCAGGCTTCCGCCTCCCCTGGGGCGTGGTGAAACATGGCGCAGGGACAGTGCAAGTTCCAGGCGCAGAAACCTAAAAGCAAGGCAGCGGCAGTGGCTGGGTGGACAGGAGCCGAGGGCTGAGGAAAGGTGGTCAAGCCATTGCTCCCAAGAAGGTGCGTGTCCTGCAGCAGCAAAAGCTGAAGAAGACCCTGGAAGTGGGGATCCGGAAGAAGATTGAGCATGACGTGGTGATGAAAGCCAACTCCAGCCTGCCTAAGAAGCTCGCACTGCTGAAGGGCCCATCAAAGAAGACAGGGGCCGCCACACTCAACAAGACACCATCCTAAAGGCACTGGGACTTTGCAGGTGACCCCACAGGCTGGCCGGACTTGAACAGGACCCCCCTCCACTCCTAATGGCACCTGGGACAGCAATGGGCAGGTGATGATAAAGCCTGAGGCCAGCTCCGCAGGGTACTGAAGAGGCACTCAGCTTCCTGTAGGCTCAGAGTCTGTCTTTACTGTGGTGACACCGTGTGATGAACCTGGCTCTGATGTCCCTCTGGCTCTCAAGCAGCTCAGTGGGGAGGCTGTTTGAGGGTAGGTGAGCCTCACTGTTCTCCACAAGAAACTTCCCCCACCCCCTCAGTGCCCTTGACAGCCACAGACCCAAGAAAGGGCAATGGCATCAATAGCGGAAGCTGGCGGGTACAGGTAATCTCTTCCCCAGGTCCTGGGTGGCCCTGGCCCCAAAAGCCATCCCCTCTAGTCATCTAGTGTCAGTTGTCACTGTCCTATACATGAAGAAGGGTTCCATATCTTCAGTGAGGCACGATCTTATCCTGTCACACTAGTGATCCAAAGCCACTTAGGGATGGCCAGTGTTACCCAATAAAGCTGTGCTCACAGAGGCAAAAAAAAAAAAAAAAAGCAATCCTCCCTGAGGACTAGAAGACTGGCATGCAAGCTTCCAAAGGAGGGAAGCAACCAAGAAAGCGTCCTACCCAGCTATGACAACTATGAACTACAACAACAACCAGCATGGCACAATAGCCCTAAGGGTACAGCAGTAGCACACATACCTTGGTGCTAACCAACAGCTCTCTAATTAGATTCAAGGTCTGCTCAACAGCAGAGATGCCACACCTGGTACTGCAAACATAGCCTCCGTAGTCCGAGCGATGTTGGAGGAGAACCTACAGCCATCACTTTACTAAGCCAGCATAATCCCTAAGCACATTCTAAACATTTGTCCTTATACCCACAGATAAGTGTGATCCTCATTCCATCAAGAAAACCTCTCTTTGCAACAGACAGGGACCATTAAGAAAATCACAACCAATCAAAGCACAGTGTTGTGAAGCCCAGTCCCAATGCATACAAAACAACTTTTGAACCTAAGGCTCCAGGAACATGGAGAAAGAGTGTATGGAAAGATTGTAAAAGCCGGAAGATTAAGGGGTTTTCTGGGAGACTGTCTCCTAGTTAGTAAGGTCAGAAGCTACACTCATCAAGTCTCACCAACATGATTGCCTAAACATGGGCTGAACAAGGACAACAATAGACATGCTGAAATGGACAGGGGAATTCATACAGCCTCAACCCTACACAAAGAACTACAGGCAACTAAGGAAGGCTGAGGGTGGGAGAAACAGTCTTCCTTAAGGAAGAGAAAATCAATTGGTTATCCAATACCTAATGGTCAGCATTGAAAAAAAGAAAATTATAATAGAGCACTACTTAAAGGTGTGGGGACAACAGACCTTGGCCCATTTCCTCATCAGCCTGGGAGTAGGCAGCTGTATGACAATGTTTACTAAAACCATGTTTACTAAAAACAATACAATGCCCGAGGCAATAAGTTCCTGAAAAGGGCTGGCCCAAGCCCTGACCTCGACCTTTTCCAAAGACTAAATGCCTCTTTCTAGCCCACCCACCGCTGCCTCTGGTGTCAGGGTATATATAGGAATAAGGGAGAGCCTCCTTGAGGAGAGCCTTCTTGAGGAGCCTTCTGGTCTCTGTGTCATCAATCCTGATACCCTCGCCACATTCTCGGATACAGGCTGCGCACTCAATCACATGCATACTGAACCAAAACAAAGGAATGGAACAATGGTAGATGCTTGGCAGAAACCAGAAATCACCTTAGCCTCAAACTAACTATTTGCCTAATGAGAACAGTCCTTGTGTCCACTGTGAGTCAGCATTTTATGATTGTGAAACATGAAGGTATTTCCTCCTTCCTGGCATCAGCTAATAGAGATAAAATAAATGAAGCATCTCGAAGACTCAGAGAATGTCTGAAGTGTTACAGTGCTCCCACAGGTTTAACTCTCAGGTTCATGAATGTCAGGGATGACAGCATGTATCAGGTGACCACAGAGCTACTCTGAAATAACTTGTGGCTCTACAAAAGTAGCAGATAAAATGCTGACTACAACTACACCTCGGAAATGAACAAACATTGGAAATAAGTGAAAACAACAACAAAAACAGTTTAGAGGCAAGTAATAAATAGACAAACAAGAAAATGGAGCTGAGGGAATTTGCAGACACTGGCCACCAGAATATCATATACTAAAGCTGAATCAAGTGAAGATTTTTCCCCTTACAACAAAGCAAAGAGAAAAAAGGTAAACTAAACTAAAAGTGAAACCAAGGGGAAAATCCTGCTCTTTTCAACTGCTCATGAACAGAAATAAGATAAAAACAGTAATTACACAAAGGTACTTCCTTGTGTGTGCAACCAAAACTGACTGAAAGGGGGAAAGAAATGTAACTTTTTTTTTTGGTTTTTCGAGACAAGGTTTCTCTGTGGCTTTGGAGGCTGTCCTGGAATTCGCTCTGTAGCCCAGGCTGGTCTCGAACTCACAGAGATCCGCCTGGCTCTGCCTCCCCAGTGCTGGGATTAAAGGCATGCGCCACCACCGCCCGGCGAAATGTAACTCTTAAGCAAGCTGGAGACCTGGGAGTGAGAACCTATGAGAAGAGACTGAAGAGCATTAAACACATAATGGAAGGGCTAAGGAAGCACAGGGAAGCCAGGTATCTCAATGAATAAAGACAGCTGTAACAACCTGTAGGAAAGTGAGCCAAAAATAAAGCTAATACCTCATTGCTCTTACTGCACAGTCCCCACACCCCAAGCGTTAGGACTACAGGTGTGAGCTACCACACTGCATTTATGTGATTCTGGGGACAGACACTGGACCTCTGCAAGCCATTTTATTCACTGATTTATTACAAAGCCACAGGGCAGCCTAAATGAGAAAATTAGAGCAGTCGCATCAAAAGTTGCCTTTTGTTTTTCTGCCTTTTCCTTTTCCTTTAGAGACTGAACCCAGGGCCGCTGTGCATTCTACCCAAGCACTCTACCAACTAAGCCACACCCTCAGACAGTAAATGCCATAGATAAATACCATCTTATACTAAGCCACATCCCCAAACCATAAATACCGTGGATAAATACCATCTTCCACTGAGCCACACCACCAGACCGTAAGCACTACAAATGCCACCTTACACTGAGGAAATAGCCTCAGAAAAGTAAAATGCTACAGCTCACTGTTAAAAGAAGGCAGGGCCAGGCTGCCAGCTTATACAGTCTAATCTTACACTTTATACAGTCTCCTAGGAACCTCTCTACTTGGTGAAAAATGGAGAAAGGCATTTCATAGTATTACATGAGAGAAATATCCCTGGTCAATCTTTAAGTGGCAATAGGACTTATGCTCTTGAATTATTGGGGGTTTAGTAACATCCAAAGCCATAGTGAATCTGGCTTTGACATCTGCCAGCAGGGTTGATTTGGCTGATCCGGGTGTCTAGGTGGGTGTTCCCTTTCCTCTTCGTTGCTCTAGATATGTCTCCTCCTGAAACTGGAGTTTTTGGTCAAAAAGGATGACCATCCCCAATAGAGGGGAGCAGTAGTCTTTGGTCAAGGGAATATAACTGTGATCTCCTGCTAGAGCCTCCAAATGAGTTCTCAAAGCCAGATACACAATCTATAGCCTACTAAAGAATTTAGATTCATGTTTGAGAACAGCACACATGTTATACCTACCTGTCTACAAAACAGGCAGGGGCCTCAGATATGAGAGGAAGGTTCCCCAGGTTATGAATCAAGGGAAATGTCACAGGCAAACGATCATTTTGAATGGTAGAAGGAGCATCTTAATTTCTCATCAGACTCCTGAGAGTTTTCAGGTTAAATTTCAGAAGTCCTTCGCATGGCCCTCCAAAACTCGGCCAGGAAAAATGACACAAGACAGGCTTATTACCTCTATTGACAGACTTATGGACAAGCATTTGTTTACCAGATCAGGTTTCAACAGACGAGAAGTGTTTCACTATCGGAAAGCCAGTCAGAAGGCAAGCTGCGCGTCTTGGCACGTGGTGAAAGCCCAGCAATCTTTTAAGCTAAAGCAAATGAAAATCGGCTGACAACCACTAAGTGACGCACGCAGCCACACTGCCTTACGCCAACCAAACCTTTGTTGTTAGCTAATTTTAAAGCTGTCAAGTGAGACACTTTAACACATGATCCCGGTGGAACAGGGTGACCTTGGTTTACCTGGATGCCCCAAACCAACTGCAAAAGGGCGCTACTGGCAATGTGTAAAGAATTGTCCTTTCCTTCGACGTGACAGGGCGGCTATGACTTTAAAAATTCGTCCGCTACATATATGTATATATGAATGTTTATGAATGAAATTGTTTCCCGTGCTTCCCGTACGAGGGGGTGCTAAGGGGGGAAGCTGAAATGAACTGGCGAATGTATAGACAAAAATCACATTAGGGGTGTCACACGCTACTTGGGAGCCTCACACACTCACACCCACGTGCCGTTTTTCACCAAGGCCCCGGGAGTACCACCCCAGGGCGGCCCCCTTCCCTCAGGCCTCAGCAGCACCGAGGGTTCCTGAGGAACCCTCCTCCTCCACCGAGCCGTAGCTCGCGCCTCGCCCGCCGGCCGGAGTCAGGAAAGGGACCCACCTGCGGCTCACCGGCGCCCACCGCCCCGCCGCCCCGCCCGGCCCCGGGGGCGGGCCGTGCGGCTACGTCATGGCGCTGCGCCGGGTCAAAGTTCAGCCCCGCCCGCGTCCCCGCGCCGTCTCCTCGGCCTGCGCCGCCGCCGCTCGTGGTCCGGGTCGCGCTCCTTCCGCTCCGCCGCCTGCTCGCGAGTGCTGCCCGGCAGGCCGCCATGGCGAACGTGGCCGACACGAAGCTGTACGACATCCTGGGCGTCCCTCCCGGCGCCAGCGAGAACGAGCTGAAGAAGGTACTGGAGCGAGCCGGCGGGCGGGCGGGCGGGCGGGCGGGCGGGCGGGCGGGCGGGCGGGGCGAGAGCGCGGGGCCTGCGCGGTCGGGGCGGCCTGAGCCGGGTTGAGGCGCGGCGGCGGCGGCGGGGGCGCAGTCGGCTCGGCTGACCTTGGGCCTCCGCCCGCCCGCCCTCCCGTCCGCCCTCCCCGCGCAGACGCGGCCCGCCGGGCCGGCGCCCCGGGCCACCCGGAAAAACAGGTCGGACCGCGGCGCCCGCGCCGCCCGGCCGGGGAAGAGCTGACCGCCGGCGCCGGTGTGGGGCTGAGGGCCGCAGGCTCCGGCGCTGAAGCTCCTCCCTCTGCCTCGCTCGCCCCGCAGCCGGAGCGGCGTGGATCTGTTTGGAAGCTTTGTTCCGTGGGCAGGTGATCTAAATACCCCATGGCGGCTTCTGGGATGACTCGTGTGTCCCAGCCAAACACCTGAGTGTGCACTCACTAACAATCTCATTGTTGTCCTTTGTGGCCGCATCAGATCATCTCGGGACTTGAAAGCACGTAGCATATTAATAAAGTCCCGCAACATCTTCTTTGGCTGTCGGCCTAGAGTCTGAATTTGTAAGCCTAGAGAAATGAGACTGTCCCGTAAGCAGTGGGACCGGTAAAGTCCAAAGTAAAATAGACTTCCTGTTACTCTACCGGAAATGGTAGGCTGAGTTATATAATTCATGAGTGTGTGAAGACTTAAATGGTGCATGCCCATATCGCTTAATTGAGAGTGTGTAGTTTCATTACCGCCTAGGACCCCAGTCAAACCACCGTGTGCTAGTAAAACATCACCTAGGACCACCTGGGTTTTTTCCTGTGAGAGAGCAGGGGTACTTTTTCTACCTTTGCTTCATTTGTATAAGTGTTTGGGTTTCTGTAAAATAAAGTCACTTAACCTGGAATTTGTTAGGTTATTGTGTTCTTAGTCTGGTTACTGGCCATCAAAGACATTTGATAATAGTATCTATCGTTGTATTTTTTATTTGTATTTTCCTCAGTATACTCTTTTTTCAACGAAACTTTGTTTTGGTACATTATTAGCAAGTAAGTAATATTGAGATGGAAAATGTCAAATAGTTCTGACAGTGTACGTGGCATTTTGGGAAGACTGTAACTTTTTAGAACATTGCATCTCAGAAAAATGAGTTTTTGCCAGGCATTGGTGGCTCACGACTATAATCCTAGCGCTCAGGAGGCAGGGGCAAGCGTATCTCAGTGAGTTTGAGGCCAGCCTGCTCTACAGATCAAGTGCCAGTACAGGCTCCAAAGCTACACAGAGAACTACAGAAACCAAAAAGAAAAATGAACTTCTTAAATTGTTTGTGTATAACTCTTTTTCAAAATCTTTTTTTTTTGAAGGCATACAGAAAGTTAGCCAAAGAATACCATCCTGATAAGAATCCGAATGCTGGAGACAAAGTAAGTTAAACTGAAATTTAAAATAAATCACCCTCCCAGAAACGAGGAATGTGGTAGGAGGAAAAAATCATGTATGCCTACAGATCAAAACTTTATTATTTTAACTGACTTGAAAATGCCATAATGACCAGCACTTGGGAGGCAGAGGAGGCGGATCTCTGTGAGTGAGGCCAGCCTGGTCTACAGAGCTAGTTCCAGGACAGTCTCCAAAAGCAATACAGAGAAACCCTGTCTCAAAAAAACAAAAAAAAAGAAAAAGAAAAAGAAAGAAAGAAAATGCCATAATGAAACTTAGTGCTTGTAATATTCTTTAAAAATATGAAAAATTAGCCAGTCAGTGATAGTGTTAGCACATGCTTTAATCTCAGCACTCCACATGCAGAGGCAGGCTGATCTCTGAGTTCCAGGCCATTTGGTCAGAGCAAGTTCCAGGATAGCTAGCAGCTGAACAGAGAAACCTGTCTCAAAAAGAGAGACAGAAGGAGAAACTATAGCCATTGAGTTAGCTGGACGTTACAAGTCCATGCCATGTGACCAACAGCCTGAGTTTGGTCCACAGTGAAGGAAAGTTGTCCTCCCTCCTCCACAAGTGCTCCCACACTCAATCACTCATATAAGTACAATGATAACTCCACACTCAGTCACTTATATACAGTATAATAATAACCCCACACTCAGTCACTCATATACAGTAATAAATGACAACTTTTAGAGAACTATTCTAGTTTTGCGATGAGAATACTAAGCTTTGAGCAGTAAGTGAAAAGAGGACCAAAATGAAACCAAAGGTAACTTGAAGCTTGTTAATAGAATTAAATGGATTCTAGGTTTCTGAAGTCTCTTATGTTCTTGCACTTAAAACCCCAATTTTCATTTTCTTTTTCCTTATAGTTTAAAGAAATAAGTTTTGCATATGAAGTATTGTCAAATCCAGAGAAGCGGGAGCTATATGACAGATATGGAGAACAAGGTCTACGGGAAGGTAGCGGCGGAGGCGGTGGCATGGATGATATTTTCTCACATATTTTTGGTGGAGGATTGTTTGGCTTCATGGGCAATCAAAGTAGAAGTCGAAATGGCAGAAGAAGGGGCGAGGACATGATGCATCCCCTGAAGTGAGTCTTTTTTAATTAAGTGCTTTTCTAAGTGGTATGCTTACAGCACAGTTGCTATAGAATATTCCATTTGTTTAGTCAGGAGGTGGTGGCACACACCTTTAATCTCAGCACTTGGGAAGCAGAGGCAGGGGGATGTCTTAAGTTCAAGGCCAGCCTGGTCTGCAGATAGAGTTCCAGGACAACCCGGGAAACCTGTTTCGAGAAAGAAAAAAAAAAGAATATTTCATTTATTTAAATTTTTTCTGTGTTCTCATTAAGTGAGTAAATAAATTAGTTAATAGATTTGTTTTTGTTTTGTTTTTCCGAGACAGGTTTCTCTGTATCTCGTTAGAGGTTGTCCTGGACTTACTCTGTAGACCGGGCTGACCTTGAACTCAGATCCCCCTGCCTCTGCCTCCGAGTGCTGGGATTAAAGGTGTGTGCCACCAATGCCCTGCTAGTTAATAGATTTGTTAATTGACTATATTTTGCTTCAGAGCTTAAAGGATGGTGGGGGTGCTCTAGAAATGTAGGTCAGTTGGTAAAGTGCTTAACTCACAGAAAATTCTGGATTTTACTCTGGGCACTGTAATAAACCAACTTTGGTTTTTACCTATAATTACAGCACTGGGGAGGTGGAGACGAGCCTTAGGAGTTCAAGGTCATATATACTCACCTGAATTCTAGTTTGGGACCAACCTGAGATACATGTAACCCTGTTTCAACAAAGCAACCAAGATCTTAAAGAACAGTTGATATTTACCGAGATTTGTTTTTCATGTTGTTGAGGTTGTTTGTTATTGTATGATTTAAAATTTCAAATGTGAAGATTATATTCTTTGAAGTATTTAAATCCAAGTTTTAAAAAGAATGGTAGTTTGCTTAGATTATTTACATGGTGTAGTCCCCGTTACTTGATCCTTAATGCTAACTCTTCTAAATTGGTTTCCATGGAGCTTACTGGCTTCCAGCCTGGCATTAACCTGCCAACATACAAATGGTGTAGACCTTGATTTTGGACTAAGACTTCACAATCCCTCTACAGTCTGAAAATAGCCATTTCACTTTGCACTTTTACTGTATTTTGTAAATTTTTTCATGAATAATGGTTTTAGTAGCAAGAAGGAGGGAGAGGAGAGAGACGCTCCTGCTTGAACTTGAAACAAGGCTCCTGTAGCCCAGGCTGATTATGGTTTCTGGTATCCTGCCTCCACCTCAGAAGTGCAGGGGTTGCTGGGGTGTATGATCGTGCTTGGCTGGGAGGTTGTTTATTTAAGATACTTCAGTTATGGTTTTTGCTGTTATTATGGGGGCATGTGCTTGCTACAGTCCACAGATGAAGGTCAGGACAAACTGGGAGGTAGAGTTGGTTCTTTGCTTCAAGGTGAGTCTCAGGGATTGAACTCAGGGAGCAGGCGTGGTAATAAGTGCTCTTATCCACAGGCATCTCACCAGTCTGACGTATTTTGTTGTTGTTTGTTTGCATTTATCTATTTGATTTTGAAGTGTTTTTGCTTCCTGTATGTTCGTGCACCACACAGTGCCTGGTGCCCAAGGAGGTCAGAAAAGAGTGTCAGGCCTCCTAGAGCTAGAGTTACAGGTGGTTGTGAGCTGCTGGGTGGGTGCTAGGAATCAAACCAAGTCCTCAGCAAGAATAAGCTCTCCAGCTCCATGTGTCTGTTTTTACACATGTACTGGGGATTGAACCCAAATCTAATGCTTGTGCTGCAGGCATATTACCAACTGACCTGTCTTCAGATATACGTGAGCCCCCCCTCCCCCCAGTGTGTGTGTGTGTGTGTGTGTGTGTGTGTGTGTGTGTGTGTGTGGTTTTTTCAAGACAGGGTTTCTCTGTATTGTTTTGGAGGCTGTCCTGGAACTCTGTACATCAGGCTGGCCTCGAACTCACAGAGATCCGCCTGCCTCTGTCTCCTGAGTGCTGGGATCAAAGTTGAGCGCCACCAATGCCTGCCCCCCACCCCACCCCCCTTTTTAACTGGAGCTTGTTAAGTAATCCAAGCTGGCCTCCAACACTCTGATCCATCTCTTCTCTAGAATGCTAGGATTACAGGTGTGTTACCACCATACCTGCCACTAAGATACTCTTTTAATTTCATCTTTTATGGGCAGGAGGCCTATAATAGATATTGTTGCTGTGCATTTCTTTGTATGCAGTTTTATCTCTTTCTAGCAAATTTCCAGCCAAGCGTTATTCTTTTTGAGGTAGAGTATCACACTGGCAGTACAGGTGGGAGGCACCATTCCTGACTTGACATCTATGTTTTGAAGCTGATTTAAAAAAAACAAAAACAGGCCGGGCGTTGGTGGCGCACGCCTTTAATCCCAGCACTCGGGAGGCAGAGGCAGGCGGATCTCTGTGAGTTCGAGGCCAGCCTGGTCTACCGAGCAGGTTCCAGGACAGCCTCCAAAGCCACAGGGAAACCCTGTCTCAGGAAAAAAACAAAACAAAAAAAACAAAAACAAAAACAGCTAATTGGCTTTATAGAGGAATTTTGCCACCTTGAGCCTCACTGGAGAGTGCCATTGTTAGTTCATTACTTACAGTTTTCCTATTGTAAGACTCAAGAAGTACATCAATATATCATTAAATTGGGTGTGGTGGTGTGTTGTTGATAATTTTTCATCCGTAAGTAGTCTAAAATTTTTACTCTTTGAGCACAGACACAAGAACTAGGGAGGGGGTATGAAGGTCAGAGCACAACTTGTGGGAGTTGATTCTCTTCCACCATGATGGAACTTAGGTCACCAGCAAGTGCTGAGCCATCTTGAGCACCTGTAAATTATGCTTTTATACTTCCTGCAATATAGGAGAGCTTAAGCTTAAAGTAACAATTTTGTGAAATGTTGAACACCACAAAATAGTGTAGGTGCCTTGGAGAAGGACTTTGAACTATTTCTTTGTTCCTTTTACCTAAAGTCAAGGGATTTAAAGTAGAGAAGGCTTAAAGACTGGGTGTACTTAGCTCAGTGGCAGAGCACCTGCTGAGCATGTGTGAGGTCTTGAGTTCACTTTCAGTACCTAATAGGGAGAAAAAGATTTCAAAACACAATAGCCAGGCATGATGGTTGGCACCTTTAATCTCAGCACTAGGGACAAAGGGACAAAGAAACAATCAGATCTCTTGAGTGAGGCCTGTTTAGTTTACACAGCCAGAGCTACATAGTGAAACCCTGTAAAAAAATTAACAAACCAATAAAAAAACCAAACACAAGAGTATTATTAAATCTATAATACAAATAGATGGTTGGTGAGTAGTTTTTGGAATTTAATTCTTTCACAATTTCATATACAAATGATTTTCTTTACCTTTTCTTATGCTTTTCCTTCTACCTGGACCTCTCTTTCTTCCCAACAAGCCCCTCCTACTACTTTCTTCTTGTCTGTTCCTCTTGGTCCTTTGTATTTAATTATAGCTTCCTGCATGAACAGGGATAGTAGGGTTATTTGCTTGAACAAGGGCAACTTAACCATTGGCAACATCACTGAGAATGAGTTCCCTCCCTCAGCAACCATTAACTACAGATCCTCAGGGAGGGGTGGGGCTGTTTTGTTTTTTGAGATTAGTTTGGAAATTAATCCTATAATTGAAATATGCTATATATGAATTGAGTTTGGTTTATGAGTTATATGTGTACACACACATACACAGTTTGTTTGCTTAAGACTGAGTCTTCCTATTTAACCTTGTCTGGCCTAGAACTTGTAGAAAGGGCTGGCTTTGGACATTAGCAGTCTTCCTGTCTCAGTATTGAGATAATAGGTGTATACTGCCAACCTAACAAATACTTTTTAAGGAACATTGCTTTTTTTTGTAACTCTAAGTTTATTTAACTTTATATGCATTGATGTGAAGGTGTCCGATCCCCTGAAACTGAACTTAAGTTGCGAGCTGCCATGTGAGTACTCAGAATTGAACCCAGGTCTTCTTGAAGAGTGGCCAGTGCTCTTAACTGCCAAGCCACCTCTCCAGCCCCCATTTAATACTTTTTTTAAAAATGTGTTGTGTATGTCTGTGTACTGGGTGCAGTGAGTGCCCATGGAGGCCAGAAGAAGGTGTTGAATCCTCTGGGATTGGAGTTAGTCTCTATGTGGGTGCTTGATACTGAATCCAGGCCCTCTGCAAGAACAGCAAGTAACTGCTAAGTCTTCTCTCCAGCTTCCATGTTTATTTTTATTTTTTTTTTTGGTTTTTACGAGAGAGGGTTTCTCTGTATTGTTTCGGAGGCTGTCGGTCCAGCCTGGACTCGAACTCACAGAGATCCGCCTGCCTCTGCCTCCCGAGTGCTGGGATTAAAGGTGCGCCACCACCGCCCGGCTTCCATTTTTAAATAGTCCTTTTTTTTTTCTCTACCACTTTTGAGGTATGCTGAATATATAAAATATTATATACTTTTGATATACAAAGGACTGATACTTTTTTTTTTTTTTTTTTTTTTTTTGGTTTTTCGAGACAGGGTTTCTCTGTGGCTTTGGAGGCTGTCCTGGAACTAGCTCTTGTAGACCAGGCTGGCCTCGAATTCACAGAGATCCGCCTGCCTCTGCCTCCCAAGTGCTGGGATTAAAGGCGTGCGCCACCACCGCCCGGCGATACTCTTTTTTTTTTTTTTAAAGATTTATTTATTATGTTCAGTGTTCTTCCTGCATGTCTGCAGGCCAGAAGAGGGCACCAGATCTCATTACAGATGGTTGTGAGCCACCATGTTGCTGGGAATTGAACTCAGGACCTTTGGAAGAGTAACCAGTGTTCTTAACTTCTGAGCCATCTCTCAAGCCCCACAACTGGTACTCTTTATTGGAGTTAGATACTTGAAAATATGTTAAAACCTTTGGGGCCACTATGCCAGTGTTGATCATGAACACCAAGGTGCACATGCCTCCATGTCAGAGGGCCTCCTCTCCTAGCTCACCTAGCAACTGGTACAGGCCACCTGCAAGCTAACCCAGTGCCTCACAGTGCTTTTGGCCACTCCTACAGCAAGCTGCTTATATGACCTAGTGGCCTGATTGCCTGTGCATCAGCCCAGACCGGATCTACATCAACTCTGACTTGAGCTTGCCCAACCAGGTCTAGAATGCTTCCATCTTCACTTAAGTACTGGCCTGACTTATCTGCACTGCCATTCTTGGAGCCTTGCTGCATGCAGGGTTCTGTGCTCCTATGCCCATAGTGATACCCACCTCCCAACCAGGAGAAATAAATGGTTTAGAGACCAAAAAAAGTTTATACAGTATTCTGATTTGGTGGGGATCTTTAGAAATTGAAAAGATTGAAATTTTCTTTCCTGAAACTTAGTTCTTCCCCTCTAATACAAGAGTATGTAACTTTTTAAACATATACAGCTAAGTGTCTTTCAATTTTTAGAAATTATATGTATGAGTGTTTGTCCACATATGTGTCTGTGTACCACATGTGGAGGCAAGCAGAGTCAGGTCTCCTGGAACTAGAGTCACAGACAGTTGTGAGCCTCACTGGTTGCTGGGAATTGAACTCAGGTCCTCTGGATGAGTAGCAGTGGTCTTACCCACTGAGCCATTTCTCCAGCTCCCTAAGTGCCTATCTGAAACTATAATATACATTTGTAATTAATCATCTAGGGCTTGCCTCCCCAACAGTAAAGATGTGACCTTGGTTAAGTTAGTTAACTTCTCTTTGCTTCAATTTAATCACATAAAATTGGATAATAATTACTATTAGTAGCTAGGGATGTAGCTTAGTTGCTATAGTACTTGTCTGGTACAAAGGAGTCCCTGGGTTCTCTCTGTACCATATTAAATTGGACACGACGGTATATACCTGTAATCCTAGCACTTGGGAAGTAGAGGCACGGATATCCATAAGTTCAAGTTAATTTTTGGCTGCATTTTGAGTTTGAAGCCAGCGTGAACCATAAAATTCTGTCTTTAGAGTCCTGGCTCAACACTGTAAATTCAAGAATTTATTATTTTTGCTAGGTGGCAGCGGCGGCACATACCTTTAATCCCAGCACTTTGGAGACAGGGACAGTCGAATCTCTGAATTTGAGGCCAGCCTAGTCTATGGAGCAAGTTCTAGGGCAGCTACACATTTAGTCCCTGTCTTGGGGGAGGGGTGGTGTGAGTGTGTGTGTGTACACGCGTGTGCGTCCCTGTTTACCTATGTGTATGTGCATGTGTGTTCAAGTGCCTGAAAAAACCAGAAGCATTGGGTCCCCTAGAGATATAGTTACAGGTGGTTCTAGTATGGGGTTGGGAAGGTCTTGTCCTCTGAAGAGCAGTATTACCACATATGTTGTCCATATTCATAGTTTTTCTTGGTTTTTTTGTTATAAAGTCAAGTGAATTTGCTCTGTAAGTATAGTATTGGCAAAATTTGGTTGAACCTTGTTCTTTTTTCTGCAGAGTATCTTTAGAAGATCTGTATAATGGCAAGACAACCAAACTACAACTTAGCAAGAATGTGCTTTGTAGTGCATGCAGTGGGTAAGTGTGCTGTTGCATAGGCAGTATCTCTGTCTGCCTTTTGAGTGGCATGCTCACTACATCTATACCAGGTAAAACATCTTCTTGGTTTAAAGCTTAATAAGCAGTCAGGTATTTTCTGATATCTCTAAAGACCAATTTAAGTAGTTATACTGGGGAGGGAAAAGCACAGTTGTTATTTTTTAATGACTGGTTTGCAAACAAAAGTGTAATTTTTACTTTTGCTTTAGCCAAGGTGGGAAGTCTGGAGCTGTTCAGAAATGTAGTGCTTGTCGGGGTCGAGGTGTGCGCATTATGATCAGGCAGCTGGCTCCAGGAATGGTGCAGCAGATGCAGTCTGTGTGCTCTGATTGCAACGGAGAAGGTAAATGCACCAATATTTTTATTGCTTTTTATATTAGAATATGTTGGTAACATAGAGGTTGGAAACATTTACAATTTTTCTAAATATACTTATTCTATAAATGAGATCTAACACAAGATTGGAAATTATCATACCATTACTGTTTGGGTGTAGTGTCTCTAACCTAGGCTGACCTTGAACTGTATATTCAAGGATGATCTTGAATTCTTAATCTGCCTCTACCCTAAGTGTTGAGATATTATACCAATCCAGCTAGCCATTAATCTTTATAGTTTAGTTGCTAAATGAAGTAGCTTTAATCAAGAAAAGGAGTGATGTGTCTAGTATAACCAAGAAATTAAAGTTTTGTTGTTGTTGTTTTTTTTTTAAATACTCTGTATACACAGTGTTCTGGCTGCATGTATACCTACAGGCCAGAAGAAGGTACCAGATCTTATTACAGATGATTGTGAGCCATCATGTGGTTGCTGGGAATTGAACTCAGGACCTCTGGAAGAGCAGCTAGTGTTTTTACCCACTAAGCCATCTCTTCAGCCCCCAGAATTTAAGTTTTTAATTAGATTAATTTATGTGCTAGAATTGCTTCTCAGCAGCATAGGAATGAGGTCCATGGACCCAAGTCCATGAGTGTGCTTGGCCAGTATTGAACTATACCCACCAGTCCTTATTCTGACTAATTACATTACCTGCGTCTATGCTGGCCTTGGTATAAGGAATTAAATCTAAGGTTCTTACCATTGCACACTTCCAGCCTTCCCTTTGACTAGTGATTGTTAGTATAGTTGTAGAACTCCCTTTCCAAATTGTTCTTAAAAGTGATAGTTTTAAGAAAGTATATATTGGGCTGAGGTGATTACTTAGTTGATAAAGTGCCTGCCTAGCTAGCATGGGGCCTAGCCATGAGTAGAGAGTCCCAGAGCCCATATTAAGAAGAGCCAGGCCAGGCGGTGGTGGCGCACGCCTTTAATCCCAGCACTCGGGAGGCAGAGGCAGGAGGATCTCTGTGAGTTTGAGACCAGCCTGGTCTACAAGAGCTAGTTCCAGGACAGCCTCCAAAGCCACAGAGAAACCCTGTCTTGAACCCCCCCCCCAAAAAAAAGAAAAGCCAGTAGTGCACCTGTAAAATCCCCGTGCTCAGGAGAGAAGTTGATCCTAAGTGTGAGCAGCCAGCCTAACCTACTAAACCTAGGTCAGTGAGATTCTTTTGTAAAAAATGGAAGTTCAGCTGAGGAATAACACCAGTGTTGCCCTCCGCAGCTGCATACTATATACCCCTGAGGCATCTCTGCTTTTTTTTTTTTTTTTTTTTTGGTTTTTCGAGACAGGGTTTCTCCGTGGCTTTGGAGGCTGTCCTGGAACTCGCTCTGTAGACCAGGCTGGCCTCGAACTCACAGAGATCCGCCTGCCTCTGCCTCCCAAGTGCTGGGATTAAAGGCGTGCGCCACCAACGCCTGGCCTGCATCTCTGCATTTTATCTTGTTAAAATTGTTAGCTTCACAGTTTGGGGGGGCTGGAGAGATGGCTTAGAGGTTAAGAGCACTGACTGCTCTTCCAAAGGTCCCGAGTTCAGTTCCCAGAAACCACATGGTGGCTCACAACCATCTGTAATGAAATCTGGTGCCCTCTTCTGGCATGCTATAAACATAATAAATAAATAAATCTTTAAAAAAAAAAAAAAGAAAGAAACCAGAGTCAACTGAAGTCTCACATCGGGAAACAGAGCAAGAGGAGACTGAGTTTCAGGCCTACTGTGTAATATAAAGACCCTTTGTAAAAGCAAGTGCACTGGTGCTCAGTGATTAGAAAACCTTGCCTTTTCCCCACACTTAGATACATCTGGAGTTTTCATTCACTGCACCATAAGCACATATTAGAGGAGAATACCTGCAAAAGAAAATCTGTTATCCTAAACTTGGTACAACGGCGTTCAGTGCCAGACATCGCTGATTGGTTTTGAGAGTTTTCAGTAATAGTCAAACTACATAAAGACAGGATTGGGTGTGGGAGGACAGCCCAGTGATAGAGCCTGTGCAAAAACCTGGGGCTAGCCCCCAGCTAATATCTGAGCAAGATTTAGTCTTCTAAATAAATTGCAGTGCCAGCTATACATTTCAGTAATGGGCCATGAAGGATATTTAAGGATTGAATATAGATCAATAGTGACTATCAGATTCAGCAACCCCTATTGGAAAGAAAAAATACGTTTGACTTGGACTGTCTGTGTCCGACAATCACCTACTTGGAGTTAGAACTGAAAACTTGCAGAAGGCTTTGTAGAAAGAAGCTCTAGCATCTGACTGCTCAAACATTCCTTGTTCATTAGTTTTAGGAGTAGAGCCAGGAACTGAGGAAATGTCAAAGTGTTTTACTCTGTGATGTTGGGTAACTGGACCCTTTGGGTGACCTCTAGTAAGATAGAAGTTTTGTCATTCACAGTAACTGTAACTGTTGGCATCCAAAATGTATCTTTGAATCGGGGGGCACTGTCAAGACTCACCTTAAGACTGAGGTATTTTTTTTCTTACTGGAAGCTTGAATGACCTCTCTTTGCAGGAGAGGTCATTAATGAAAAGGACCGCTGTAAAAAATGTGAAGGGAAGAAGGTGATTAAAGAAGTCAAGATTCTTGAAGTTCATGTAGACAAGGGCATGAAACATGGACAGAGAATCACATTCACTGGGGAAGCAGACCAGGCCCCGGGAGTGGAGCCTGGAGATATTGTTCTTTTGCTACAGGAAAAAGAACATGAGGTAATTTCCTTTTGATTTATTCACTCCCCCCCCCTTTTTTTTTTTGTTTTATTCAAAATTGATCTTGCTTGTGAGAAATAGGATAGATGCCTTGAAGTGAAACTGGAAACAAATGAAGTTGTTAGGGGGAGCATGGCTGAGTTAATTTTTAGTTAACCCTCCTTAATTTTACTGTACTTACTGGCTAGGCAGCTAAGTTTTCTGAGGTTGGGAGTGTGTTTCTTAAAGTAATCTGTTTTATTGGTGTGATGGTAGCAGGAGCGCTTATTCATGTTACAGTATGTATCAGCACAGCTTTCTGGAATCAGTTCTTCCACAGTGGGCTCTGGGTGTCAAGCACAATTTAAACATTTTTATTATTAGTTTTTGGTTGAATGTGTGTTAGCTATATCTATTATGTTTGAGGCTTGTCTAGCAATTAGGTTCATTGTGTGCTATTTTTATTTTGATCATACCTCCATGTGCTCCACAACCTCAGTACTGGATACCAAGAGAGGGATGAATCCTCTGGTACCGACTGTGGCCTCCCAAGCCTTGGTTCATTCACCATTTGTTTTTGTTATGTTTTTTTTCTGGGGAAGAAGCTGCAATTTTAAAAGTAAAATCACTTAGATATTTCAGTAGAGAACAAGACCAAATTGAAAAGCACGTTGTAGAATTTGATTTCTCACAAAATTTTTACTTGCTCCCGTACTGCCATTTATGATCCCATGAAGAGTGGTATGTTACTGGTTGTTTTTTACTTTTCTTCAATATTGTATATTTGAGATGGCAAGGATCTTTTAGCTGGCTGGAAAATAACAACAGTTTCCAGAATTCTTCTTTAAGGTCATAAACAATAAGATACTCATATCTGCAAGCCCTAAATTTTGTTACTCAAGATTCTTATTTGATGGCATTTTAGCTGCTTCCTCATTTATTCAGTATTAGTATCCACAATACCTATAAGACTCTAAGAGGTAGAAAACTGAATAGCCACATCATTGAAAGTTGGTAGTGTAGATTAAACAGTTTTATGGAACAGATACCACTAGAGTATTATGAGTGTTCCACATAACTTTAATCCCAGTGCTTGGGATTAGAATCACCAACAGTGGTAGGAAGTAGTGTAGTAGCCTACACTAGAAAGTAATAAGGGCAGAAATTTGGAGTGTCAGTTCTGGTTTATTGTGACCAAGGCAGTCAGTGGGAGTCAAGGGTGGGTTTAGACAGTTTAATTCATCTCACTTGGAAGAAAAAAACAAGCAAACGTACTATAGTTTGAACTAGAACATATGGCTTGCTACATGGTCAAGAACATGATTCGTTGTTTTGGGCCTTTCTGCCCTCATTTGAAATAGCTTTCTGAAGAAATTGAGACCATAATTAGGTTGGGTGGGTACAGTGGCTGAAACTACACAAGTGTGGTAATGTTGTGCTGTATGCATTCATCCTGCTCTTCTGTGAGTGCTGGCGTCCGTTTGTACAGCCTAGCACAGGGCTCTGGTTGTGTGTTAGTTCCTCAATAATAAATAACTCCTTCAGAAATTATGCAACTTCTGGGTGTTTTACTCTGTGGTGCTTGGTCGAATGTTCTGTGACAACAGAAAAGGGGGGGGAGTTAAACATTTATCAGTTTAAATGTTCACATCAAATTATCAAGTCATCCATCCCCCCCAAAAGACAGCAACTGCCCTGGTATTTTTGTTGTTTCTTTGAATGCTTCTATACAAGAACATGCTGTTACTTCTTACTTCTTCTGTGGGTATTTGGTAAAAATTATTCTTGGACTGTTGGTATCCTGTAAACAGGCATTTTATGGGCTTGTTTGTTTTAAGACAGGGTTTCTGTGAATTCACAGAAATCTGCCTGTCTTTTTTTGTTTGTTTGTTTCTTTTTGTTTTTCGAGACAGGGTTTCTCTGTGGCTTTGGAGGCTGTCCTGGAACTCACTTGGTAGTCCAGGCTGGTCTTGAACTCACAGAGATCCGCCTGCCTCTGCCTCCCGAGTGCTGGGATTAAAGGCGTGCGCCACCAACGCCCGGCGAAATCTGCCTGTCTTTAAAGTCTGATGACCCTGTTGTGAGGGTTCCTGAGTAAATGTGCATAACTAACTAATCTACATTCTTTGGTTCTCAAATTTGAGCTGTGATTGGAATCTCTTGGAGGGCTTACTAAATCTGCTGGGTTGCTGGGCCAAAATGTTATTTCTAACATGCTTCCAGTAGTGTTGAAGCTCATGTTCTAAAACTGTTCATGCTTAGGATAGTTTATTTCATGGGCAGACTTAGGAGAATCGTTTAGGAAAAGAACACATTTTTCAGGTATCTTATGAAAAGCCACGGTTCTTCAGAGATATTACTGGGGCTTGCACCTCAGATTTGGGGAGCCAGTCAGAGAGCACCAATTGACTGATGGAGGTAATGAAATGAACTTGTATATCACCCTCTTAAACCCTTAGGGAGCTAGAGGTTAGTAACGACATGGGAGAGCATGCTAGAGGGCTGACTCAGCAGATAAGGGCACTGGCTGAGCTAACTTGAGGACCTGAGTTTGGATTCCAGCACCCACATAAAGTGCATGACCTCATGTGCTCTCTGACACATGGATGGCATAGACAGGAGGATTGCTGGGTCTTAGTATGGCCACCAGCCTAGCTCTAGGTTCAGTGATAGAGCAGACACCTCTCCATGACTCTATGCATGTACATTCATTCGCATCTAATCCCATTCACAGAAGAGAGGGCCCATCTGAAGTAAACGGGGAGGCTAATAAATGGAAGAAATACTCATGTGTTTTCTAGGACTGAGAAGAGATGTCCCAGAAATTTGGATGTTGATTCTCTTCGTGGTTCTTTCTAATGGTTGCCTTGTCTCTTCTTTTGACATTACAGGGTCAGCTAGCATACAAATGGTATTAACATGAAATAAAAAATGGTTTGGCAGTCATTTTGGTGGCTGTCTTTGGTCCAGCCAATTTCTTTTAACATTATTATTACTGTTTAGTCTATTTTATTGCCTATAGACATCAGAGAGTAGCTTGGATAGAAATTAAGCTGACTCACATACTTGGGATAACCAAGACTTTGTTGTTGTTCTTGTTGTTGTTTTGTTTTTGGGAGAGGGTCTCTGTAGCCCTGCATGTTCTGGAACTCACTGTGTGGACCAGGCTGGCCTTGAGCTCAGAGGTCATCTGGTCTCCCAAGTGCTGCGATTAAAGATAAGTGCTACCACTCCTAGGTTCTAGTAAATAAATCTAGGTGACCTTTTCATTACAGATAATTTTATTTCAACTTAAATTTCAAAGTTAAGTGTATATTTGGCAAGTTTAAGTAAAAATTACAAGTTGAATAATTTGATTTTTTTTTTTCTCTAAGCATCCAAGCTTAGGACATTCTCAGCACTTAGTAACCTTTGTGACATTGGTGCAGAAGCAGCTCTCACCTCCAAGGGGACAAGAGAGTTTATTGTGAAGCTCAATGAATGACCGTAACCTGTAACATGGATTCAGGTTATAAAAATTCATGTTCCAGCATGGGAGCAGTAATAGAACAAAGAAAGTCACAAACGAAGGCACTATGCAAATGCGCTAGAGGAAAGTAGGAAAAGTACAGCAGCTCAGCCAGAAGCCTTGGAGGCTTACCTGGCAGCTCCTAGCCTTGGCTTGGCGGAAACCATAGTTTTGTTGTTAATACATTCCAAAATGTTTTCTCTGTTAAGTCACAGGATGTTAGGTCTGACACAGCAGTGGGCAAATAGCTAATTTGGGGGACTAAAGATAGCCCAAGATAAATTGTCATTAGAAATTTTGGCTTTATATAGCTTCTTTCTGGAAACGGAGTCACAACAGTATGCAGTCTAACTATACATTTGCTGTATAATTTACATTAGGCAAATCTGAATTTTTTTAAGGTGTTTGTTTTGTTTTGTTTTTCCCTAGACTGGGTTTCTCTGTGTAACTCACTGTTCTGGAACTTGATCTATAGACCAGACTGGCCTCAAACCTGTCTGTCTGTCTGTCTGTCTGTCTGTCTGTCTGTCTGTCTGTCTCTCTCTCTCTCTCTCTCTCTGTCTCTGTCTCTGTCTCTCTGTCTCTCTCCGTGTGTGCCTGGTGCCCACTGGAGGTCAGAAGAGGCCCTTGACTCCTAGAACTGGTGTTATGGACGGTGGTGAGCCACCATGGGGGTGCTGGGAACCAAGCCTCTGCAAGAGCTGCAAGCTGTCTTAACACTGACTATTTCTTCATCCCCAAGTTTGACTTTTAAATGAGATAAAATTTCATTGTACATGTATGAAGTACAGAATTGAACATATAACTTCCATGGCTGGGCCTTTTTGGTTGAGCTTTTTTTAACATTGAACTTGGACTCCCTTCTTGCATCATTGGGATCATGTCTGGGGGATATTGCAGGTTGTATCTGTTCTTATGAAGCCATATGACCTATTTGGTGTTAGATTTAGGACATGGAATGCAATTGCAGCAATACTGACTTTTGGAGTTTCGGCTGTGTCTTACATACTTTTCCTAATAGCCAGGCCTTCCTAATAGAAGTTTCTGGCATACTTCTTGAGAATATCTAGTTTTGCGAATAGACATTTTGGAAATTAGGGACAGCTATGGGTGGTAGAATTAAGATTCTGAAATTGACTTAAGGAATATGCAACAGGATGGTGTGGGTTCATAATCTTATAAACTATGCTTTGTGTGTGCTTTGTCTATAGGTATTCCAGAGAGATGGGAATGATTTGCATATGACATATAAGATAGGACTTGTTGAAGCTTTATGTGGATTTCAGTTCACATTTAAGCATCTTGATACTCGTCAGATTGTGGTGAAATACCCCCCTGGCAAAGTAATTGAACCAGGTAAATGACTTCATCTGATCTAGGTTGTCTTTATATTGTTAAAATTTTAATATAGTGAGTAACAAGGGAATATTATTGAATACCTTTCTTAGGTAAGATTCTTATCTAATTTAATGTTTTTAACTAATAGGATGTGTCCGTGTTGTCCGAGGTGAAGGAATGCCGCAGTATCGTAACCCCTTTGAAAAGGGGGATCTTTATATAAAGTTTGATGTGCAGTTTCCTGAAAACAACTGGATCAACCCAGACAAGCTTTCTGTAAGCTGGTTTACAGTTCTCATCATGCAGATAATGTGGCTGTCCCTTCTGCTCCCCCTCACTCCTCCTTGCTTCCTGTGTGTGTTTTCTCTTTCTCTGCTTTGTTTTATTGTAGGGTCTCTGCCTGCCCCCTGGGCTGGTCTAGTACTTATGGCAATTCCTCTGTCTCAGTCTTTTGATAACTGGGACTATAGATGTGATCGGCCACTCCCAGCTCTTTTGAGACTGACTTCATGCTAGCTTTTTAAAATGTTTGCATGGTTGATGGGTTTTGTTTTGTTTTTTGTTTTCCTGGTAATTCTAAAGATGAGGTTGGCTGATATAACTTTATGGGGCAAAGCAGGCTGGGTGTGAGGTGCTGATGAGAGTCTTTGAATGGAGCACATCCCTCAACTGGCATTCAGAAGTGCCTGAAACATTCCTGCGGGGCAGTTTTCTAGTGTTTGAATAAGGGTGTTTGTTTTGTGTGAATGTCAGCTACATGATGAGACACATCTCCTGTTCTTTGTTTCATGAAGGAATTAGAAGATCTCCTGCCATGTAGACCAGAAGTTCCTAATGTAATTGGAGAGACAGAAGAAGTAGAGCTTCAGGAATTTGATAGTACTCGAGGCTCTGGAGGTGGTCAGAGGCGTGAGGCCTATAATGATAGCTCTGATGAAGAAAGCAGCAGCCATCATGGACCTGGAGTGCAGTGTGCCCATCAGTAAACTGCAGGCGGCTGCACAGGTGGATTTTCTTTCCACAAAATTTGCCGGATTTGCCAGCTGCTGGAGTACCTGAGTCCAGATGAACTGATGGACATCTGTTGATCTGTGTAACTTCTAAAATTGGTATAGTATCCACAGAGTGTATAATTTAAACTAACCACAAAGCTTTACATCTTCATTTCGACTGTTCTGTAGCAGAGTAAAGCACTTGAAATAAGACTCCCTTTCACATGTGGGTTATAAGTTTCAGTCCTGGTATCTGCTTGATTTTTATCAGTTTGTGTAGACTTTATGTTTCATATTTTAAACTCAAATCCAGCATTGTAAAGTTTGTACAATTTGTCCTAAAGCTTTGTGTTTGGCTGCACCTGCATAAGCTGCTACAAATAGATAAAGAATTCATAGCCTGTATCTATCATTTAGATGCATGGAAAAATGGGCTTTGCACACAATGGGTTTGAAGCTGACTGGGAACAGTAGAAAAAATTACATTAGCCATGGTTGTAAAGTTTTTTGGCTTTTTTTTTTTTTAAACCATTTTGTGAAAGGTTTCTGAAACTTGATAATAAAAAGCAGTTGGTGTAAATTATTCTGTGTCACATTTTTAGAAAGAAGAACATATTTTAAACTGTAAAAAGTATCCTTACACTGAGAAGTGAATCTTTGGTTCTGATTTTTAAACAGCCCTTAAAAATCCCATTGGCTTGAAGCTTATTTATGCTTCAGGTACCTGCCGGTTTTATAGTTTACAAACATTTAATGTTGGTTGAAACAGGCTGTATTGACTTCAGTTGGTACTCTGTAGCATCGAGAAAACATCCAAGTTATCTAACTTCCAGGTTACCCTGAAAATGGGGACACGCCCAGGCTTCTGTTTCCTTTGAAAATAGGTGGTAGCAGCTGAATAGTAGAACCATGTTTACACAGGCCTGTTAACCCTGTTTTAATTAAATATTATGAAAACTTGCTCTGTCTCATTAAGTTGAATATCTGACTTGGGGGAAGCATTGACTAATATTCACAAAGTGGCTGAGCCAGTGGTGAGGAGGGTTCAGTTTGATCCGTGTCCTGGTCCACACCTAGCTTTAATTACAGCCATCCTAATGGAATGAAAGGGTGTGTTTCCATCCTCTGGGGATTACTTTTTTCACTCTGTAGTGGTTTTTTTTTAAACATGCTAATTTAAGGTCCAAATGACACCAGGTATATACACATTTTATGTTTGTCAAAGGAACAACAGGACAAAAATGGAAATTTAGATTTTTTTTCAGTGTATTATACCATCTCTGAGTCTAACAGCACATTTCTAGAGATTAGAACCTGGATGAAAAAAGGTCCCCAAGCTAATCAAGACCTGTGAGGGTTAAATTACTGCCCTATTCACTCTACCTCCATTGTACATTGGGCAAGATGCAGCAGCATAATAGTTTTGTATTTGAGGTTATTTCCCCACAACACTTTTAAGCCTAAGTAACCGCAGTGATAATATAAACTTTGTAGCCTTTCCAATAAAGGTTTATAAAACAGTTACTCAGCAGTCTTCAGTTCTTCTGCTTAGGGTGTGGGTGTGTGTATCTGTGTGTGTGGTGCTGGGGACTGAACTCAGGCGCATATATATATGCTAAGCAGCTGCTTCCCCAGCTGAGCAATCCCCAGCTACCCACGTTATTTACTAGAACAAAGAAAATTTGCAAGTAAGGAAGCTGTGTTTGACCTTTAAGTGCCTCTAACTGCTTCACTTTCTGGTTTCCATACCATAAACTGCAACTATGGATACATGAAAGTTTTGTGTGGGGTACATTCTTTTAGATGCATACCTGGCGTGGACTTGGGTTATGGTAACTAACCATCTGTACCTTGCCCTACCAGCAGTGCAGGGAGGGTGTGCAGTGGGACCTACATCCCCACAACCTTGGCCGCAGGTAACTTTGGTTACTGCCTTCCTATGGATGTAAAGCAGCTTTGACTTTTATTTCCCTGATGACTAATGTTCATGCATTCTTCATGTGCTTAGTTGGCTGTTGATGAAGTATTTTGTCTCTGCCCCAGAAGTTTCAGAATACTGTGTAGTCACCTGCATAGGCTCCTGTTGGCTCTTGACTGTTGTAACATACCTTGTTTTTGAGGGCTGTAGATACTTTTGAGGAGTATTTGTTTTGAGACAGGGTTTTGATATTGTATCCTAAGCTGCCCTTGAAGAGTTCAGGCCAGTTCTCTTCAACAATTCCTTTTGAAGTGTCTCCTTGGGCCAGCACTTACCCTACTCCCTTCAGTTTGACTGTTGCATATGTGTGTACTATAGCTAGGTCTGTAGATGGCTTCAGCTCACGAGGGTGGGCCTTGTGCATAGCTGCTCCCTGGCTGTGAAGGACCAGGAAGCCCTTTCTCCACTATCTTTGTCCTGCAGACTGGGCAGCTCATGTCTCAACAGGTAAGAATTTTGTTGCAAACAGCAAATAACCAAAACACAGCAAAGAAAATTTAAATGCACAATAAGATGCCAGTTACTTAGATTCTTGGTAAGAAACGTAGACTAGAGCCGGGCGTTGGTGGTGCACGCCTTTAATCCCAGCACTCGGGAGGCAGAGGCAGGCGGATCTCTGTGAGTTCGAGGCCAGCCTGGTCTACCGAGCGAGTTCCAGGACAGCCTCCAAAGCCACAGAGAAACCCTGTCTCGAAAAACCAAAAAAAAAAAAAAAAAAAAAAAAAAAAAGAAACGTAGACTAATTTGTGAAGGTAAGTACATTTGTTAGAGCCTGAGGGATCCCATGTAGCCCTGGAATTAAACAGATTAGATTTTGGATAAAATCTTGAGTCCCTGACCTGATTAATCTTGTATTGCTGTATCTTTGTGTCCCCCCACCCCCTTCTGGGAAAGAGCTCACCTTCCTGTCATGGTTTCTACAGCCACTTTAGGAATCAATGTATCTAGAGATTTGTGATGGTGATAAAATTCTGGTGCATTCTACAAAGAAGAACTTTGTAAAGGAATGAGGGCCATGCACTGGTAGCAAGCTGCTGCTCAGCTGCTTCAGAAAACTGCTCTCTTGGTTCTCTGGTTGTCTGGGGATGGTGCTGTAACCCATTTGGTCTCTTGATCTGACAGAACAATAGACTCCCAAAAGAATGGGAATCCCCCAGGAGTTTCATGTTGTGGGGAAGAAAGGGTTGCCAGGCAGACCAGGAACTTGTTTGTTTCCAGGAAAGGGATTTTCACAGTTCTAGCAACCTGTCAGTCTCCCTGACAGGGTGGGACTGAATGAAGCCAGACAACCTTGGGTCAGTGGTGGGCAGGACCACACCTTGAACTACTTAATGGTGCAGTATCCTTGGTGCTCTATTTAAACTTTGATTTCACTTGAGGACCCTTGAGGGGTTTGCCGAATCTCTTGTCCTGTGATAGAGCCAAAAAAATCCGTTTTAAGTTTTAATTACTAAGCCTGAGAGGTCTATGAAACATGCCCAAGGACAGATAATTCCTGAAATGCTGTGTATTTTCACTCCTAAACAAGTTAATATGGCCCATCTGCACTGGATGAGGACTTGATCACATGTGGGCAGGAAATACGTACACTAGTCCCTGATTGGATGTAGGAAGGAGGTATGCAGGCAGGTAGAACCCCCGTAAGATCCAATCAGGAGCAAGCAGTCAGCCTGATGCACTTTCTGCCAGCCTGTGGGAGTGGTCTTATCTCAACTGGTGGGGTTCAACAGTCCCGCTTCCCAATGTGGCCACATTGAATAAATAGATCTTTTTCTGCTTTGCACTATTAATTTGGCTCTTTTTTATTGGCTAATAGAGAACAAGTAGTCAGACCTGACTTGGGACAAGTTGTAACCACCAAGTGCGTAACAATGCTACGGTACAGCTTCTTCACACTGACTAAAGGGATTTTTGCCATAGCTCAACCCTTCCTCAGTGCATCTTAGGATAATAGTTTGCAAGACTTCACCCTATCCACCACCAACTGGTTAACAGCTAAGTACTCTAGTGCAGGGCCTCTCAAAAGCATGGCAGATGGGGAGTATCTGCCCGTTCTATTCATGTAACTAAGAAGTAGGTGAGGGGGCCGGCATGCCCGTGTGGGCATTTCTGGAAGGGATTTGGGGAAGAAACACTTTCCCCGGAGTAGGCAGCGCCCTCCGGCAGCTGGCCCACATGGAAAGTGGCTAGAAGAAAACCAGTGTTGCTTGCTTGTCTACCTGCACTTACTTAATAAGTGGGCGTGTCTATCCCATTGCTGACCTGGCTGCCACAATCCTTAGGTGACATCCAAATCCAGCTTCAGTCTGAACTCAGACGTGCAGGGTAATCCTGCAGGCCCTCAGTGCCAGACTAGGTCGGCTGTAGTAGCCATCTTTCTGGACTGAGGAGCTACTGTGTTCCTGGCCCTCTTCAGTATGTCGTTGGCCCTCGTTGACCTCTTCCGTTCCTGTCATGCCAGCCAACCTAACACAGCCATGCTCGTGCTGTCCGTTCTTTTCCTGTAGAGGATGCTGATGGACGCTGCTCTTTGACTTCTCCACAGAAGGGTTACTCTGTAACCACACTATGTGTGCCAGCTGTGGCTCCCAGTTCCCAGTCCCTAGGGGGTAGCTTCCCAGCTTTCTCACTTGCCATCTTACAAGATGGGAAAGATAACTAGCTCTTCCTCATTTTTCTTGAACCATAGTTTTATTTTGTGTGTTTGGGGTGGGTGTGTTTCTACTGCAGTTGCTGTGTTCTCTGTCTGCGCCTGGTGCCTGTGCAGAGGCCAGAAGAGGATGTCAGTCCCCGGAATCGGGGTTACAGAGGGTTGTGAGCCAGACTGTAGAGTTTCAGGGACTGGGCATGGAACTCAGTGACAGAGCAGCTGGCCTTGTGTGGGTAAGGCACTGAATTGGATCTGCAGCACCAAACAAAAGTTTCTAGTGCACGAAACATTGGTGCAAAGTAGAATCTAAATGAATATTTACTGATGGAAGTACTCCATGCTCTTTTTAAACTAAATCTTAGATATACAGGATCTGAAATAATCTGAGAACAAATTCTAGAAGAACAATCCAGCCCTTTACTATAGGAGGATTGTAGACTGAAACAACCATGTTTCTTCTTTTTCTGTTCTGTAGCTGCCTTGGAACTATAGAGGTAACTCACGCTGGTTTTGTTTATTGTTTTGTTTTGTTTGTTTTTCGAGACAGGGTTTCTCTGTGAAACAGTCCTGGCTGTCCTGGAACTCACTCTGTGGACCAGGCTGGCCTCGGACCCAGAGAGTCTCCTGCCTCTTTGTCCTTAGTTCTGGGATTAAAGGTGTGTGCCACCACTGCCCAGGTCCCATCCATGCCTTTGCTTTCTTAGTGCTGGGATTATGGATTTTAGGTTTGGATTTTTTTTCCCCAGATGGTGTTTTGCTGTGTTGCCCAGGCTTACAGATCCCCCAATGCCCGACTTGAAGTGATTCCTCCCCTTCCCCCTGGGACTAGTCTCCTGTCATCACGATTGGCTCTCAAATACATTTAAATGAATGTAATGCAGTGTAGGACTACAGCAATTGTTTCGTAAATTTTCTTTTCTTAAGCATCAAGGCTCTCATGCTGAAATACTTAGCTTCTCAAACAGTAATGATTATTTGCATTGGTACTTAAGTATAATTTTAAATATAGAAAACTGATACCATTCATAATAGAACCAAACCCATACAATGGGGGTCTGTAGTGAAATCTACTTAAGAGGACCGTGAGGATGGATACTGCAGGATTTATTTGTTTGTTTGTTTGTTTGTTTATTTATTTATTTATTTATTTTTTGGTTTTCCGAGACAGGGTTTCTCTGTGGCTTTGGAGGCTGTCCTGGAACTCACTCGGTAGTCCAGGCTGGTCTCGAACTCACAGAGATCCGCCTGCCTCTGCCTCCCGAGTGCTGGGATTAAAGGCGTGCGCCACCAACGCCCGGCTACTGCAGGATTTATGACTTGGACAAAGACTGAAAAAAAGTCATAGAAGGTCCAGAACCTAATGGCCAATTCCAGATCTCTGGCACTAAAAAAATATTTAAACTTTTTTAAAATTTATTTTTCATTTTTCATACCAACCCTAGTTCCTCCTCCCTCCTCTTTGACTCTTACTCTTTCTTGTGGGTAGTGTGAATTGTGTAATGGCCACACAGAGATGCTACTTTGTTGGTTCTAGACTCTGAGCTAAGACCTAGAAAAGCTCCGTGAAAGCAACATAATTCTAAAATATCAGACCTCATCTGTTGTCACACTCCTGAAGAAGCTAGTGTCAAGTCATTATGTAAATCTCAATTAGTACACTAAAGTATGAGCCTAGGCAGTGCGGGGAATCTACAGGGCTCATCCAGTCAAGTAGGATGCAGTGTAGATAGCTGAACAGAGACAGGTACTTACTCAGTGAGACAGACACCTAAAAGCCCAGTACCAACCTCGTGTGCCAATCCTGATACCACCAGGAGGTGAGCTCCTCTGCGGGCTGCTGATTGTAGCTGGACTGGGATCTTTAAGGACTTTTCATGGCCATCTAAAGATTAATTC